GATGATATCTCATAGTTGTTTTGGATCCATTTAACTCTTCCAGGTATTGCAGTGGCTTAACAGCAGCCGTTTTGTACCAATTTATTGTGACAGCCCCACGGGCTCCAACACACTTCCTCCCTGGACCCCTCACTCTCCTACCTCACACAGTACCCCATCCTGGTCGATTCTCCCCTAGCAGTCAGAGGGAGCCTCTTTACACCTATGCCGGCTGGGGACCCCGAACTCACAACCCTCTCATTTGACCAAGATCAAACAAAGTCAAGGCCCACAAAGCCTGGCAGGCGCAGCAGCACCAAACCTCTGACCTCCCTTCTCCAGTTCAGTCTTGATTTACCTCAGACCCCACACTTTCTGACTTCGCCTGGGCTGTTCTTCCACTGGTCTTGTCTTCCTCTCTCAACTCCTTCAGACATCTGTTCAAACTTCTCAGAGAGGGTTCCTGGATTACTGCAGCAAATAGCCATCTCTCCCCCCCACCTTTCTCTCTCTCTCTCTCTCTCACACACACACACACACACACACTTTTATCAGATACACGTTCTTTCCCTCCCTCTTACACACGCTTTTCTCTCTCACATGAACACTGTCACATTCTTTCTCTGACCTTAGCACTTTCCTGTTTACTTTTTCACGGTACCCACCATCGTTTACATAGTCCCCCAGTCCCCAGGATCTGTCCCCCCAAGAACATTACCTCCACAAGGGCAGGAATCTCTTTGGTCTCTTGGTCTCAGTTATAGCCCCAGCACCTCACACAGCCCCAGTGCACAGTAAACCACTCCCACCATGGGGCAGATCCTGACTCATGGTGACCCCCAGTCTTAAGTTAGAGGGACCCCACAGGGTCGTCTCAGCCACTAAAGCCTCTGGATGGCACAGATGGCTCGCTCTTGGTTGTTAACCAAAAAAACTGGCACCCCGTGGCACCTCAAAAAGCCTAGTGCTCTACTTCCATGAAGAGCCCAGCAAGGAGAAGCTGTGGAGCAGTCCTCCTAGGAGTCACCCACGAATCAGAACGGACTCAAAAATTCACAGGGAAATGTTACAACTGTAGACGATCAGCTTTTTCTTCCCTGCCTGAGTTTGAACCACTAACTTTCTGGTTATCCTTACGTGCCGTCTATAGATACCTATAGCTGACCCACCAGAGTGTTTTCAGAAGCCGTCAGTGTCCAGGGAGGAGATGGCCATTTTTTCTCTCGTGGTGCAGCTAGTGGATTAGAACCGTCTTACACCTGCTTCACACTACGCCCTTCTGGTTCATAGCCAAGTGCAAACTCTTTGTACCAGACCCTCAATCAATGTTAGCTGAATCAAAGCGTGGTCCCGGGCTTTCCGAACCACGTTACACCTTCGGGGGCCCTTCGGGGGGCCTTGCAGATGTGTCCCCGGGGTCCTCAGCTGCCCCACTCCACTCCCCAACGACCCTTGCTCTTAGCACACCCCGTGCAGAATAGGGGGCCCCTCCAAGGTCACAGGATTCTGTGCAGTGAGGTGACCTCTTCAGCACCCCCACAGGCCCCACCTGAGCCTTAGGCTTCCTCCCCCACAAAACCCTGGGTGCAACCGGGAGGAGACACTGTATTGTGGGAGGAACTTGCAAAGATCTTGACCAAAGGTGGTTGTTCTCATTGTGAAGGGGGGTGGGGGGAAGGAGTAAAATTTGGGGGTGATGGGGGGGGTAGAGGAATAGGATTAGGGGTGGGAAAGAGCAGTGAATTTAGTGGGAGGGAGGAGGGGTGTCAGGATGGGGTGCAGTCTGGTGCAGGGGGGGTGCGTGAGGCAATGGAAGAGGCGTGAGGAAGACATGGGGGCAAAGAGGAAACACCCACAAACCCCACCCTTCACCTGCTCATGTAGTCAGCTTCTCATAAATCTGGCCCCCAAATCCCACCTTTCCTCGGGGTCTCTCAGGCACCCCCACCCCAAATCTGAATTATTTCAACCAGAGCTCTCCAACCTTCATACTAACTAGAATTCTCTGGAGCAACTGGGGTCTTGTGGCCCAGAGCTGACTCAGTAGTGGAGGCCAGAAATGAGACTTTAAAAGATCCCAGGCCCTTCTGCCTAGAGAGTGGCGCTGCTGGTTCAGGAGTCCCCAAGCTAGGAAGGGGTCCAGGGAGAAAAAAATTTTCAGCCAAAAGCCTTTAAAAAAAATTATCCAAAAGCCATCATCTAGGCTAAAAGGAGAGTGGTTTTCATGTCAAGCTGTATTTTTAAAAAAATAAATGCACACTTTCTGGTCATTTCAGCTACTGGTTTTAGAAACCTCTGGAAGGTCCGAGAACCCCCAGGCTTTTTGCGTTGGAGGAAGGTTACAGCTGAGCTCTCAGTGTCCCCTTCTCTTCGGGAAGGCCAATGGTGTGCCCACCTCCCATGCACAGCCGCTCCAGCCAAGAGGCGTGTAAACCATCGTTCAGCCCTCTTTCCAACTGAATCATCTCAACCTATAAAGGGCTAACCCACCCGTAACCATGGAGTCGACAGACTCACAGGACCCCTTCCGTGCCAGAGTAGAGCTGTGTGCTTCACAGCCGTGTTCCCCACCATGAGCTACAATTTTCCAACCTTTTTGTTCCCCGTCAAGTGTGTTAACCATCTGTGCCTCCCAGAAAAAGCACGCACAGGACCCACCGTTATTTTGACCCAGGCAGATCCTCCAGCAGGCTGTAAATTCTAAGAGCAGCAGGCAGCCCCAATCCTTCTCCCAGAGGTTCAACTAGAAACCTTCCGGTTCTGACATGCTGCCCCTGGAGCTATGCGTGCCTACTAGACCCTCCCTCAAAGAAGGCTAAAAGGCAGTGTTAATTTACACAACTTTATTTAAAACATTGACACTCAACAGCTACTGGTCCTGGTGACAACCGCGCTTTTGTGAAGCCCTCGTGGACCCGATCTCGTCATCAGAGGCTGGCCAGCCACAGGCTTTCTTCATCATCCGAGTCCAGTTTGCTTCACGTGTGTTGACAAACATGCCATCGGCAGCTCCAGCTGCAGACGGTCTTCAGCAGTCTCTGAAATTCACCTAGGATTTTACAAGGCATCACAAGACTAATGTTTGTTGCAAAGCGCAATCACTAATAGGACATAACAACTGTTTCACATTCTTGGTCACAAAAAAAACTGAAGTCAGGGCAGAGGCCCTCCCCTGCCATGGGCCCTAGTTTACCAGGGCTAAAACTACACGGTTGAGTATTATCTGTCAATATGCAACAGGAAACACAGCAGCATAACAAATGTGTGAACAAGCCAGGTAAATTTGCCTTCAGTTACAGTACAATACACGGAAGAGGCTGAGTTTCTTCCCTTTCTCCCCTCCTTCAAGTCACAGTGACAGGAGATTCACTTATATGCAAACAAACAGCAAAAACCAGGTATTCAAGAGATTTACAAAAACTTAACCTACAAACATAAAATATGGTTTTGGTAGCCTCAGCAGTGATACAGTCGGCCCATGGCATATACAAGGGGTTGATCTGGTGGGTCCCTCCCCCCAGTGCTGAATAACACATGAAAAAGAACAAAAGTCGACTTAAATCTTTCCTTTGGGTTCCCCAGGATGCTGTTTGAGAACCACTGACCTGAGGTTACTTATACTCCCTATGTATGAACACACACAACAACATGGAATTCTAGTATGATTTAGTATCCTACTCAGATATTAATGACCAATTTTTAAGGAATTTTTTCCCCCTCCCAGGCTACAAGATGTGAGTTTGATGGAACCAGATGTGGAAGTAAACAGAATGGCACCACAGTTCTCTCTGAATCACCCCTTTCCCTTTGACGTTTCCAGGGGGAAAAAAACCCAAAACAAACAAAAATAACCACCAATAAACTACTATTAAGTTAATCTTAAAATTCAATATTTCCAAATTCTAATGAATATTTTTACATAACTCTTCTGAGACTAACTGGAGGATGCAAGTAGAAAATAAACTGGAGGAGCAAGTCATCAGGTCTGTATAGAAAATTCTGGACTAACAGACCTACTACTCAGTTCAGAGAAGAAATGAGAACATTGCTCTTTAAGCTGCCAAAGCCAACGCAGCTTGCTGACCGCCCAGATGTAGCAGGAGTTGAAGTGGAAGGTCAAATATGAGTGAACACAACAGAGACCCTAAAAAGGGTTGTTAAGGTGACTGTTTTAGTATGTTCCGGAATGTTCTCATATCTGGAACTCCCCCTCCTCAGAAAGCAAGCAGAGGAGACAGTGAAGCAGGCACAAGAGAACGTGGCACAGGTAAATGGCCCCTCCCCTCAAATCCACCCAGCTCAGGTTACACCACCCTTCACCTGAGGGTCATCTCTACAAAGTGGGACTCTGAATGAGGTCTGGTCCCACTCTGTGACATCAGCAATCGCTGTTCCAATCTTGGAACTTCTTTCAATTATTCTGGTACGGATGTTCCCCTTTCCCAAAAAATCAAAGCTTTCTGGACAGAAGTCAAAACAGTTCAAAGAGGGAGGAACAGGCAGAGGTACGATTTGGGACTTTAAAAAAAAACGCCCAAAAAACAAAAACAAAAAAAAGTTAACAAAACCAAACAACATCCCAATTTTCCCAGCAGGCTTTTCAAAAACAAAACTCCAAACAAGTGCCACTGAGTCTATCCCGACTCAAGGCGACCCCATGACAGTCAAGGTGGAATTGCGCTCTATGGGGTTGTCAAAGTTGTAATCTTTTTCAAAAAGTATATAAAAAAAAATTTCTAGAACACTAGACCTTTCTTCTGAGGTGCCTCTGGGTGGCCTTGAACGGTCAACCTCTTGGTTAATAGCCAGCACTTAACCAAGTTTATGCCCCACCCAGGGTCTCTCAAAGTCACAAACCCCCAACAAACAATAGAACCCAAACCATTAAATTCTTATCAAGGGAAATGGGTCAGAAAGAATGGTTTTTTACCACTCCAGTGACACATAAAAAAAAAAAAAGATAGGTGGGTTTGCTCTGAGGCCTCCAAGGGCCACCCCCCTCAGATGCAAAATGCTGGTCTTCAGGAGCTGCTGCTGGGAGAGGGAGGAAGTGTGGGGTTCCCACCTACACCCTCCACGACTGCGTCAGTCGCCTCTTCTGACGCTATGGAGCCCTCCTTGCCACCCGTTTCACACAATGCCTCTCCCTCCCCTTTAGGGGACTCATCCTCTGCTTCCCACCTCTTCCCACCCTCCAGGTGACCGTTCTGGTCATTCTTGTCACTGGACGTTTGAGATGAACCTTCCGTCATGACCTCGGGACCCGAGGACCCAGAGGCCAGGGTCTCCCCAGAAAGATCCCCTGGGCTTCCAGGGGTCTCGGGCTCTTTCTTTGGAGACTCGGGCAACTTCACAGCGTCTTCCACATCCATGGGGTCACCGGAGACGGGGCCCAAGCTCAGCTTCTTCTTCTTCCTCATAGGGGCGAGCCTCTTCCTCGAGCCCAAACCCATGGCTTTCTTCTTTGGGGGGACCTCCTGGCCTGACTCTGAGGTACCTCCCAAGTTCTCCTCTTCAGAAGAAGAGGAGGAGGAGGAGGAGGAGCTGGAGGTCTCCTGGGGCCGGGGTCTGCGAACCCGTCGGGCGTATTTCACCCTGGACTTTTTAAGATCTGCCTCCTCTTGCTTCACACTTGGTTTGGGGGTTGAGGTCTCCAACTTATCAGCCTCATCCCCGTCGGAGTCTTCATAGAAGACCTCACTGCTGGGTTTCTTCCAGAACCTTCGTTCCTGCTTGGAGGCTGTGTTCTGCTTCTTTCTCTTGGAGGCATTCTTGGGCCCTGACCTGCGAGCAAGGGGTTGAGGGGCCTCATCGATGAGGTCACCCCGACTGCCCTCCTCCAGCTTCAGGATACAGCTGGCCTTGGACGCGGGTCCAGGCTCCTTCTTGATCTGCCTTCCTCCTTCGGAAGTGCAGGCTGCCACGGCCTCAGCCACCACCAACTCCTGCGCCCTCGCCTCCTCTCGACTGCGAAGCTCCGCATCCATGTGGTAGAGCATCTGCACCACGGCCCCCAGGAGAGCCCCCAAAGCTTCGGCCCAATTTTCGTGGCGCACATTCCGGCTCAAGGGCCGTGAGGGGCGGTTGGGGTGCAGCAGGCGGATCACGTCCTCCATGGTGCGCCCTTCGACCTCCAGGAATTCATGCAGGTTTCTCAGAAACTCCGCATCCTGGGTGGGGTCCCGACAGACCACTCTCCAGGAACCCCCTCTTCCAGGGAACTCCCGGGGGACGGTGCTCAGATTCACGCCCTCGCCCACCTCGACCAAGGCGGCTTTGGTGTTCTCCGCCCTCACGAATATCTTGTTGAGCACGTGGTAGGGACCCAGAGGGGTGAAGACCCCCCGCAAGGTCTCCTCGATTTCTGCCTGGTCACACTCCACAGGGATGCCCACAACCAGCAGGGCCCGGTGGATGTCCATATCCATCCCCCGGCACCAATCTTCCAGCAGGTTCATCGCGGCCATGCTCAGGGGTGTGGGGAGGACCCTGGGCGCTGACCCCTCCTGGAGCTGCGAGTCTAGGAGATGCGCCTGGACTGCCGAGGTCCCCAAAGGGAGATCCTGTAAAGTCACAGGACAGCGGGGTCAGAATCCCGGGAGGGCAGGCAAGCCGGAGCCCTGCCGCCCCACCCCCCATAGGGCTAGCTTGCAGGTGATCACACCTTTCCCAGGACCGCCCCCCCTAAAAGTCTCCCCGGACGACCCGAGGTGCTTACACGTGCTGGGTGACGCTCGTGCCTCGGATGTAGCAGGATCAAGCCTCCGACTGCGCAGCCAGGTCTAGGAGAAGCCACTGGACTGTGGTCTCTCGGAAGACACCGGCCACGGTCACTCCGACGCTGCAGGTGCAAACACACGCCACCAGCGAGCTGGCGTCCGGATGCCTCGAGCTCCACGGAGTCTCCGCCGGCGTCGCAGCGCGCGCCTGCGCATGCGCTCCTGCGCGATCCCTCCCCCCGCGCCGCCGCCGCAGCCGTCTCCACGGCAACCGACCCCCGCGTTCTAGGCCGGAACCTGGGGGGTGGGGACTGCGGGTGGGGGTCGGGTGGAAGTGCAACACTCAGCCCCCTTTATCTACGCCCCACCCTTCTCTTCCAGGCTCTCAGATTGCGGGGAGGGGGCTCACTTTTATGACTGCGCCAGTAAGCTCTCCTGTCCTCAGCTTTCTTGGTGACTTTAGCCAACACCAGAAATCAACAAGCGACAGGAAAGAGAGGCTGGGATACTGACAGTGCAGCCCCCCCCCCCCCCCCCCCCCCCCCACACACACACACAGGGATACTGACAGTCCAGCACGCGCGCGCACACACACACACACACACACACACCCAGCACTCTTAAGCAGCCTTCTCTCAAAAGCCCCAGCTCTGGGATTTCAGAAATTTCCAGAAGCTTCTTTCTCTCCCCTCCCCCATCCCTCAGTCCTGGAGAGAGTTTTCTTTTAATGAGTTCATTTCTTTCTAGTAACAGTGGACACAGGCAAACATATACACCTGTTTACAATTTCTACATGAATAGCAGGAAATCATTGATCTCTCATACTTCATATTCTGTCTCCGTATTCTCACAATCTCTGTCCGTATCGTTTCATTGCCATTAAATCAGGCTCTTCGCCCTTTAAAAGGACCCTTCTCTGAAAGATGCTTTATATCTTCCCAGAAATATTCACAGTCTCTGAAACATGTTGAAAGATCGTCGTGAGCTGGAATCCATTCGATGGTAGTGCAGTGGCCCCTTAAAATCTCATCTGTATGCAACCAGAGTGCTCCTTGGAAGCAAATATGGCGAAACTTCCTCTCATATATTTTGGGCATGTTGTTAGGAAAGGCTGTTCTTTGCAAGAGGACATCATGCTTGGAAAGTGGAGGGTTAGCAGACAGAGGAGGAAGACCCCCGAACCAGGTGGACTGATACAGTGTCTGCAGCAATGGGCTTAATTGTGTTGGGAATGGCGTAGGATAGGCCAGCTTCAGATCGTTGTTCATAGGGCCGCTGTGTTGGTACTCAACGCTACCACACTAAACATGTTTAATTAAGATAGTTTAACCTTTGGAAGAGAGGATGCTCAGTGCAAAAACTTGGGTTTTCAGATAAGAATTTACACAGCAAGTTAGGTTCCCATTTAACAACAAGTTAAACTCATATTATTGAACTTTTGTAAGAAGGTATGCTCAGGACAAAAACCCTTTGTTTTTTGGGGGGTTTTAAAAAATTATTCTTTTCTTAATTTCTCTATGTGTACCGTCAAATTGGATCTGACTGGTATTGGAGTAAATTGTCCTTCCTTCTCCAGCAGAGCATCTGGTGAATTCAAACTGCACCCCTCTGGGACTGCAGTGCAGCTTCTTGTCACTAGGCCACCAGAGCTCCCCAGAAAAAGCCTTTTACAGATGAGAATTTACAGAGCAAGCTAGGGTCTCACTTAATAATTTTTATTCAAACTGTTGCATAACTTTTAATAAACTTTTTATTGTCATTTCAGTGAAGGTTAACAGAGCATATTGATTTTTTTCATTCAACAATTCATACACATTTAGATATAGGACATTGATAACAATCTCCATATATTGTGATAGCACTCTTCCTGCTTCCACCTTGTGACTCTTGTTTCCATCTATCCATCTTCTCCCTTCCTGCTTTCTGAACTCTATCCCTGGGCAAATGCTGCCCTGATGATCTTGTATGGATGGTTGTTCTAAGGAGTGAACACTACCCTGGTGCCACTGTTCACCTTACAGAACTATCTACTGTTTGGGTGAAAGTTTAATGCAAAACATCTTTAGCAAGTGCTTTAAACTCTAACAAGGATTTCATGAGAGTTTTGCTTCAAGGTTAATAAACTTCTTTCCAAGCATTGCTTTCAGAGTCCCCCAGTCACAACAGACCCAGTAAGTATGGCTGCCACAGGGAGCTTGAAGTTCAATACTTCAACACTTTTTTCCAGTTTGAAGTTTTGTTCTGCATTTCCCATCCTTTTGATGGAGATCCATTTGTTGAGTGCTTGAACAAAAAGTGCAGTAATGGTATGTAGACACCGTCCCTTTCTTCTGCTCTCTTGGCAGTGAAAGCAGTAGTTTATGGGGAGTGGCTCACCTTCCTTTGTTGGTGCCCATGTTGTTGTTGTTATGTGCCGTCAAGTCACTTGCGACTTATAGCGACCCTATGTACAAATCCCTAAACTCTGCTCTGTCCTGTGCCAATCGCACTGTCTCCGATACTCCCATCCCGATTATCCCAGTCACTGAATCAATCCACCTCATAGAGGTGCCCATAGTTACTTAAAACTCCTCAGTGTTGTCATTTGTTCTCTGCCTTGCCTTCACCAAAACATCCAGATATACCACTGGACTTCCCAGTTCTGCAGCCTTGAACAAATAACCCAACCTCTCTGAGCTCCTTCCTTTTCTTATAATAGGAATCCCCATAAGACTTACCTAATAATCCAAAAGTTCTAAAGTTCAGTGAGATCACATAGTAAAATGATGCCTTGAAGTACAATGTTAGCCTTGATATTTATCCAAAATCTGTTTTTTAGATTCAATTTGGAAATTGGCTTTGCAAAGGTAGCACCAAATATCTGTTGTGCTATCAACTGTGGCAACCTTAATTATTAACCATGATCAATATTTATGTGATTTCCCTAATTCCCATCACATTTCATACAAAAGGGAGATATATCATGCCAAATTTCAATATGTGAAATATTATAATTCCAGTGAAAATAAACAGCATCGTTGTAATCACTAGAATGTGCTGATTCTGGCTTACAGTGTCCCTGTGGGACCATGTAGAAATTTGCCACCTGGCTTCCAAAGCGTAGTCTTCATGAAAGCACATGGCCACCTTTCTTTCTCCATGAAAAAGCTGATGGGTTCAAACCACTGGAGCTCCCTAATCCTATTACACCTTAAAAAAAAAAAGGGAGGGGGAGCTCTGGTGGCCTAGTGGCAAGAAGCTGCACTGCAATCCCAGAGGTACACAGTTCGAATCCACCAGATGCTCTGCCCGAGAAGGAGGGACAATTTCCTCCTATACCAGTCAGATCTGATTTGACAGTACACACACAAAAATAATAAAATAAAAATAAATTAAAAACCCCATTTTAAAAAAAGATATGTGTGTGTGTGTGTATAAATATATATGTAAATATATATGTGTGTGTGTGTATATATATATATATGAATTAAAGAGAGAGAGAAAACAAACATGGCAGTGTTCACATATAGTGAATCTTGGTGCAGGATCCAAAGAAACCATTACAATCTTTGCCATTTCTTTATAGGTCTCAACTTCTTTCACAATAGCAAAGAAATCTGGCAGAAAGGAGTTAAATATAGAATCGCCCTCAGGCTGTTGAGTTGACCCCACGTGCAACAGAAGAGAACACTGCTCACTCTTGCCCCATCGTCACAGTCACTGCCTTCTTGAGTCCATTCTTCCACCCACTGTGTCAATCCATCTCCTCAAAGGTCTCCCTCTTTTTTTTAACACTCTACGAAGCACGACAGGGTCCCTATTGACAAGACATCCACAGTACATGAGACCAAGTCTCATCCTCCTCGCATCAAAGGGACATCTGGTTATATATCTTCCCTGCAAGATGGATACACAAAAGAGTTGAAAACAGGTGTTCAAACAAAATTTTGTCCACATATGTTCACAGAAGCACTGTTCACAATAGTGACTAGTCAAAGGCTGCAAACAACCCAACAGTCTGTCAGGAGGTGAACGCCACACATTGTGGTACAGACCCACAATGAACTGTTATTCACCATGGAAAGGAGAGGCATACTGCCACATACTACAGCATAGAGGAGATTAAAAAACATTATGCTATCAACAACCTGTGTTATGCAGATGACACAACCCTGCTTGCTGAAACTGAGGAGGACTTTGAAGCACTTGCTGCAGAAGGTCAAGGACTGCAGGCTTCAATATGAATTGAAGCGCAACATCAAGAAAACAAAGATTTTCACCACTGGGCCAATTGGCAGCATCAGTATGGATGGTGAAGAAATTGGGATAGTTAACAGTTTTCGTTTACTTGGCTCCACAGTCAACACTCTTGGTACCAGCAGCCAGGGAATCAAGAGATGAAGTGCATTGGGAAAGTCGGCTGTCAGGGACGGCTCAAGAGTACTGAAGAGCAACGATGTCAGGCTGGAGATTAAGGTGCACCTGATCCAGGCTATAGTTTTCACAATTGTGTGCTATGCATCAGAGAGCTGGACAGTTACTAGGGATGATAGAGAATTCATGCCTTTGAGCTGTGGTGCTGGAGAAGTGTTGAATATACCATGAACTGCTAGGAGAACAAACAGGTTTGTCCTGGAAATGGTGAGACCATTAGAGGCAAGGATTCTAAAGCTTCGTCTGACATACTTTGGGCTTGTTGCAAGGAGGGATCAGTCCTTGGAGAGGGACATCATGTTTGGGAGAATGGAGGAACAGCGCAGAAGAGGAAGACCCTCAATGAAATGGATCGATTCAGTGATTTGGGGTAGTGGGAGTAAGTGTGTCAGAGGCAGTGAGGTTGGCACGGGATAGAGCAGAGTTTAGAGCATAGGTTTAGTACATAGTGTCGCTATGAGTCACAAGCAACTCAACGGCACATAATAACAACAACACAAGTGAAAGAAACCAGATTCAACAGAATCATCTGGCATGTTCAATCGACATGAAATTTCCAGAATAAGCAAATCCACAGAGCTAGAAACCAGATTAATAGATGGGGGAATGATGGCCTAACAGAGTAAAAAGGTCTTTTTTGGGGAATGATGAGAATGTTCTGGAATTACATAGGGTTGATGGCTGCAAAACATGGTGATTGCACTAATGCTATGGAATTGAACATTTTTTTAAAAATGGTGACTTTTATCTTCTGCATTTTTTTAGTGTCCTCTCTCTGGCTGATAACCAAAAAGTCAAGACTTAAACAATGTGAAATCTGATGAGGCAGTTCTACATGACTTCTGTGAGTTGCTAGGAACTGGATGACAGTGGGTTTGGTTACAAAAGGCTTGGCTACACCATGAAGATCATGAATGGCAGATGTGATTCAGGATAAAATTTCCCAAGGCCAGCATTATATCCCAACCTGTGATAAACTGTGTCACAAACAACATAGACAAAGAGGAAATTCCTGAGGGCCTAGAATTGGAGACTTCCCAATTGAGTCCATATTTTCTAAGGACCAGTCCCTCCTGGCCAAGTGCCCAAAGCATATGTGATAGAGCTTTAAAATCCTAGCCTCTAGGTTTCACCCTCTCCAAGACAGACCTGTTTTCTTGGTAGTCCATGGTATGTTCAAGACTCTTCTCTAGCACCACAACTTAAAGGCATCAATTTTACTCTGTCATCCTTAGTCATTGTCCAGCCCTCTGATGCAGAGCAAATAATTGCAAAGATCACAGCCTAGTTCAGGCGCACCTTAGTCTCAAGACCTCACCTGATAATCTACATAAGAATCAGATTGATTACATACGTGGAAAAAAATCATTGGAGAAGCTCATTATCAGCTGTGAAAACTTGACCAGGTCAGATCATTATTTATATGCAAGTTCAAACTGAAGCTAAAGAAAATCAAATCAAAGCCACAGGAACCAAACAAAGTTTGACCTTGAGTTTGTCCTTCCTGAATTTAAAGACCATCTCAGGAACAGGTTTCAGGCCTTGAATACTAATGAGCGAAGACCAGATGAGCTGTGGAAGGATATCAAGAATATCATCCATGAAGAATGGAAAAGGTCACTTACAAAGTCAGAGGAAAGAAGGAATGAAGATCCAACTTTATTGTTAACTTTAGTTAAAATCATAATTGTTGTTGTTGTTAAGTGCCATTGAGTCATAGGCGACTCATAGTGACCCTATGAACAAAAGACCTGAACACCTGTATAACTTTTGTCCCTTCTCCAAGTTCATAGGGTTTCCAGAGGCAAACTATTACGGAAGTGGATGCCACTCCTGCTTCCAAGCTTGTTGTAATTGGGGAACTCCACCAGACACTGTCCACCATGGGTAACCATTCTCGCATTTGACTCATCAGTGTCACAGTCTTCAGCTTCACAGCAACCATGAGTTACCTCTGTACAGCAAGTGGACATAACAGGGTTATACAACCTAGAAGAATGTTACACCAAAAACAATTAAAGGCAGGCCTGAGAGCCACGGAGTAGATTTACTCACCTTTGGCTGGCTTGGGAGCATGACGTTCTATCACTAGGTCAAACACAACAAAATCATAATTAAAATATTTAAAAAAACAAAAACACCCAAAACCCAAAGACAAAGGAAAAGGTCAAAATGGATGTCAAAAGAGACTCTGAAATTTACACTTAAGCCTCAAGAAGCCAAAGGAAAGGGAAGAAATCAAGAGCAGAACAGAAGATTTCAAAGGGCAGCACAGGAAGACAAAGCAGAGTAGTATAATGAAATGTGTAAAGAGCTGGAGTTGGAAAATCAAAAGGGAGGAACTTTTAAGAATAAGTTAATATAAAAGAATGTTTTCTTTGCAACCTGGTGGCAATAAGCTGCACCGCAATCCCAGAGGTACGCGGTTCAAATCCACCTGATGCTCTGCTAGAGAAGGAGGGGCAATCTCCTCCTGTGCCAGTCAGATCTGATTTGACGGTACACACATACACACACACATATATACACACGAATATTGTGCATAGATCTGTCATTTTCTTTATGTACAGATGTATCCTGCATTCCAAAATGAAGATATAAAAAATATTTAAGAGGTAAGACAAATGTAAAACATTCACATATATGGAAAATCATATATTAATAGGCATTTTTAATGGGTAACTGTATACACACATATGTCTATATATGTGTGTAATATGTACATTTTCTATGTGGACACAGGGCATATAAAATTATTTATCGTGATGTTCCTTGGTGGATGGAAGTAGCTCTCCTTGATTATATTCAGATATAAAAATAGTTTTGACGCACTCTGGACCAGACCTGGGCTGTAGTTTCCATGACAACGCATGACGCTGTGGTTCCTAGAAGAACAGGTTGCCCTGGGGTTTCCATGGCAACGCAGCCTTGGCCAGTCCTGGTCAGGGGTTCAGGTTAAGTTTAACCTATTCTTTTCCTCTTTGATGTCTGATTCGCCTTTTGGGTTCGTATCTTAGTCTTCCGTATTTTAAAGGCGCTCTGGTGGTCGTTATCACTCAGCAACGAATTTAAAGGGGTTTTTTTAGTGTATTTTTATAAAGCATCCACAGAGTTTTAACCAACACCAAACACAAAGGCCACAAAAGGCCTCAGCCGCCCCTTTATGCGGGGCCCCTCCACCGGAAATGGACATAACTTACATCCGGGGCTCTGTGACGCCTCCAGGCTGGTACATCCGGGGCTCTGTGACGCCTCCGAGCTTTGTTTTAATCAGGGGGGCGCTGCGGTGACGCCATAATCCCAAAACCAGAGAAAATGAAACTCACCTCCATCCAGCCACATCCGGCTCATGGTGACCCGTTGTTGTTATAGGTGCCCTCAAGTTGACTATGAATCAAAGCCACCCTATGAAAAACATATGAACCTTGGCCTATCTTGCGCCGTCCTCACCATCTCGGATATGTTCAAGCCCACGGTTAAAGTCACTGTATCAGTCCATCTCGTTGAGGATCTTCCTCTCTTCCTTTGACCTTCCACCTTTCCAGGCATGATATCATTTTCTAAGAACTGGCTCATCCTGACAAGCCCCGGAGCAACTTTATCTAAGACAGACTTTCTTGTTCTTCTGGAAGTCCATGGCGGGTGGTGGTGGGGCCGGTATTCAGGACTCTTCTCCAACACCACAATTCAAAGCCATCCATTCTTCTCCTGTCATCCTTGTTCATTTCCAACTTTCAGATACACGGGACAGAGTAAAAACTGCATCATGGGATGGAAGCAATCACTGCATCTTTATTCACTACCACTGACTTTTTAAATAGCAACCAAGCGCTTAAATACAGTGCCATGAGGGGAGTATCTTTCTCTCTCCAGTTTCTTCCACCTGGATTTAATGAAGCCCCCCCCCTTTCTAGCCACACCTCGATCAAACCTAGCCTGCCTTCTTCTCCACCCAGTTCCCAGGTTTCCAATCCAAAGATCCTGATTTGTATCTGCGTATTTTCCCGCCTTGTATAATCACCTTAGATTAGTTTGAAGTAGCCATAATTTATTCCTTTAAAAATATATACTCTTAGGGGAGCTCTGGTGGCCTAGTGGCAAGAAGCTGCACTGCAATCCCAGAGGAACACGGTTCGAATCCACCAGATGCTCTGCCGGAGAAGGAGGCGCAATATCCTCCTGTACCAGTCAGATCTGATTTGACGGTACATGCAC